TCCCAAGAATCAAGTCAAAGATTTAAAATACGAAGAAGCAAAAAACACCCAACCAGAAAAGCAAAAAGAAAAGAGAATCCAAAAACATGAAGATAGTGTAAGGAGCCTCTGGGACAACTTCAAGCGTACCAACATCTGAATTATAGGGGTGCCAGAAGAAGAGAGCAAGATATTGAAAACCTATTTGAAGAAATAATGACAGAAAACTTCCCCTACCTGGTGAAAGAAATAGACTTACAAGTCCAGGAAGTGCAGAGAACCCCAAACAAGAGGAATCCAAAGAGGACCACACCAAGACACATCATAATTAAATGCCAAGGGCAAAAGACAAAGAGAGAATCTTAAAAGCAGCAAGAGAAAAACAGTTAGTTACCTACAAGGGAGTACCCATAGGACTGTCAGCTGATTTCTCAACAGAAACTATGCAGGCCAGAAGGGAGTCGCAAGAAATATACAAAGTGATGAATGCCAAGAACCTACAACCAAGATTACTCTACCCAACAAAGCTATCATTTAGAATTGAAGGTTAGATAAAGAGCTTCACAGATAAGAAAAAGCTAAAGGAGTTCATCACCACCAAACCAGTATTATATGAAATGCTGAAAGGTATTCTTTAAGAAGAGGAAGAAGAAAAAAGTAAAGACAAAATTATGAACAACAAAGTGACAACAAATATGTATCTATCAACAAGTGAATCTAAAAATCAAGTGAATAAAAAATCTGCTGAACAGAATAAACTGGTGAATATAATAGAATCAGGGGCATAGAAAGGGAGTGGACTGGCAATTCTCGGGGGGAAAGGGGTGTGGGGGGCAAGGGAAGAGATTGGACAAAAATCTTACACCTATGGATGAGGACAGTGGGGAGGGAGGTTAAGGGCATGGGGTGGGGTGGGAACCGGGTAGATGGGAGCTATGGGGGGGAAAAAAGAGGAACAACTGTAATAATCTGAATAAAGATTTATTTTTTTAAAAAAGTACATGGGGAAAATATCTATAAACATATCACTAAATAAAAAAAAAGAAACATCGATGAGAGAGAATCATTGATTGGCTGCCTCCTGCATGCCCCTCAATGGGGGTCGAGCCTGCAACCCTAGGCATGTGCCCTGACCAGGAATTGAACTGTGACCTGTTGGTTCATAGGTTGACACTCAACCACTGAACCACACTGGCCAGGCAGCAAGACTGTTTTTTTTTTTTTAATATAGTTTATTGATTTACAGAGAGGAAGGGAGAGGGATAGAGTTAGAAACATCGATGAGAGAGAAACATTGATCAGCTGCCTCCTGCACACCTCCCACTGGGGATGTGCCCGCAACCAAGGTACATCCCCTTGACCGGAATCGAACCTGGGACCTTTCAGTCCGCAGGCTGACGCTCTATCCACTGAGCCAAACCTGCCAGGGCAGCAAGACTGTTTTTTAGTGTGAGTTAGCACAGTGATTCTCAACCTTCCTAATGCCACGACCCTTTAATACAGTTCATGTTGTGGTGACCCCCAACCATAAAATTATTTTCGTTGCTACTTCATAACTGTAATTTTGCTGTTATGAATCGTAATGTAAATATCTGATATGCAGGATGTATTTTCATTGTTACAAATTGAACATAATTAAAGCATAGTGATTAATCACAAAAACAATATGTAATTATATATGTGTTTTCCGATGGTCTTAAGCGACCCACTGGTTGAGAACCGCTGGATTAGCAGTTTCCAAACTATGTTATATTTGAGGATTGAGCTAATAAACAAACATATTATGGATATAAAGTCTAGTTTTCTCACTGTTGGATAAAGGAGTTATAAATAAGGAAAGAGGGAAAGGTAGAATGAACCCTGTGGTATTGGACTGGAATTGGAAGTATCAGTTTTGGACTCGTGTGTCAAAAATAGATGCAGACACAAGTAGACAGATATAGAAATACACATAGTTGTATATAAACATATATTTTATTTTCTGTCAGCTGTGGGGACCTAGAAGCAATAATACCCAATACTAATGAGCAGATCTTGCACCCAATCTTCATTTCTAAATACCATTCTTCAATAAAGAAATAAGAGCTTTTGGAGAAATGATTCCCAGGACTAGGGTGAACAAATTATAAAAAAATACCTGTGTCAGAACATCTTGTGTGAGAAGGTAAGGAAGTACTAAAAAAAACAAAAAAGATGAGGTCTATATTTGTTTTCAACAGCTGTGTAATAAATTACCACAAACTTAGCAGCTTGAAAAACATCATCCACTTGTTAACTCAATTTTGAAGGTCAGAAGTCCAACCTGACATGCAAGGTTCTCTGTTTGGAATATCTTAAAACTGAAATCAAGGTGCCAGGCAGGTTGTACTCCTTTTGGACGCTCTGGGGAAGGATTCACTTCCATGTTCATTCAGGTTTCTGAGGTGAGATCTTGAGGTTGTAGAACTGAGGTCCCCGCTCTTTGCTGGCTGGCCATGGAGACTCACCCTCTGGAGGCTGCTCTGAGGTCCCCATCACATGGCTCCCTCCATCCTCAAAGCCCAAAGATTTACTCTCTTATTGAATCCCTTCCACACCGACACCTCTCTGACTTCCTGGCTCTGACCTCTCCACCAATATTTAAATAGGCTCATATGATTAGGTCAGGCCCACCTGAATTATCTCCCTATCTTAAAGTTAACTGGTTTATATAAAACTAGAAGCCCGCTGCACGAAGATTCGCGCAATAGGCCTTCCTTCCCCTGGCTGCTGGCACGGGTTTTCCTCCGGCACCCGGGACCCAGGCCTTTGGTCTGGCCGCAGCAACGCTTGGCTTCTCTAAGTCTCTTCAGTCTTCACTCTGGCTGGAGCCTTCAGTCTTCGCTCCGCGCCTGCGTATGCAAATTAACTGCCATCTTTGTTGGGTTAATTTGCATAGTTGCTCTGTTTGGCTGGTGGGTGTAGCAGAGTGACACCAATTTGTATGTTTCTCTTTTATTAGTGTAGATTACCATTTGACATATACCAGAACAGTTAAGTATTTCAGGCAAGAATCATCAGATCCTAAAATTTGTAGGTAGAATATGATGAGAAATGGGTATTTACATAGCCTCAAAGCATCTTTCCAGAAGATAATTATTTACAAAGGAGAAAATAGTGACTATACAATAAAAAAAAACCCCTGCAGACAGCACCTTAACCAAGTAGTCAGTTACAATCCTATATAATAAAAGGCTAATATGCAAATCGACCAAAAGGCTGAAGGACTGGTCGCAATGACATGTACTGATCACCAGGGGGCAGATGCTCAATGCAGGAGGAGCGCCACAGGGGGAGCGCTGCTCAGCCAGAAGTGGGCCTAAGCCATCAGCTGGACATCCCCTGAGTGCTCCGGGACTGTGAGAGGGCGCAGGCCGGGCTGAGGAACTCCCCTACCCGAATGTCATGCTCTGGGCCTCTAGTCCTCAATAATGAGACAAGTTCACATCAGTGCCTCTGCCTCTTGGTATTATGTATTTAGGATACATCACTTCTATGGAGTCTTACAAAAATGCATAATTATGAGAAATATCAGGCAAATAGAAACCTGGAGGGCCATCCTAAAAAATAACTTTTCAAAAAGTACCAAGGTCATGAAAGGCAAAGAAATTTCAAGGGACTGTTTGGTTAAAGGAGACTAAGGAGATACTAAAACTAAATATAATAGGTGACCATGGATTGAGTTCTGGGCCAGAAAAAGGATGCTACTGAAATGGCGAAATCTGATTATAGTCTACTAGAGGCTCAGTGCATGAAAATTCGTGCACTCTGGGGGGGGGGGGTCCCTCAGCCCAGCCTGCACCCTCTCGCAGTCCGGAAGCCCTCAGGGGATGTCAGGCACTGTTCTGGGCACTAGGAAGAGCAGTAAACAAAAATGGACACTTTCCTACTGCCAGGTCAAACAGGAGGAGGTTAGAAAGTTTACCATTTTAGTATTTTTTTAAAAATATGCTTTTATTGATTTCTAGAGAGGGAGAGGGACAGAGACAGAAACATCGATGAGAGGTAAACAATTGGCTGCCTCCTACACACTTGTCCCTGGAGATAGAGCCCGCAACCCAGGCATGTACCTTGACTAGGAATCAAACCAGTGACCTCTTGGTTCCTGGGTCAACACTCAACCATTGAGCAACACCAGCCGGGATACCATTTTATTTTTATTCCCGCAGAACTTTGCTTCCCCCACATATTTGCTATCTTTGCCCTTTCTTCAATTCCAATTCTTTTCCTGAAATATCTAGTAGCAACTGAAAGTGGAATGAAGTGGAACTACAGGAGCCCTAGCTGTTTTTGCTCAATGGGTAGAGCGTTGGCCTGCAGACTGAAGGGTCCAGGGTTAGATTCTGGTCATGGGCACATGCCCGGGTTGCAGGCTGAATCCCCAGTAGGGGGCGTGCAGGAGGTAGCTGATCAATAATTCTCTCATCATTCACTAAAGGCCCGGTGCACGAAATTCGTGCACTTGTGGGGGGTGTTCCTCAGCCCAGATTGCGAGAGGGCACCGGCCAGGCCGAGAGACCCCACCAGTGCATGATTGGGGCCAGGGAGGGAAGTGGGAGGTTGGCCAGCCAGGAAGGGCTCCAGGGCGTGTCCGGTCCATCCCGCTCAGTCCTGACTGGCCAGACCCCAGCAGCAAGCTAACCTACCGGTTGGAGCGTCTGCTCCCTGGTGGTCAGTGCACGTCATAGTGAGCAGTTGAGCAGCCTTATCATATCATTAGCATATTACACTTTGATTAGTTGAATGGCCGACCAGATGACTGAACACTTAGCATATTAAGGCTTTTATTTTATAGGATGTTTCTCTCTCTCTCTCTCCCTTCCTCCTTTAAATCAATAAAAATATATTTAAAAAAACACCAATATGTGATGGGGGAGGAGGGGAGAGGAACTATAGGAAGCACATTATTCTAATTATATTTTTGTACCTACAATAAGGGCATTATAAGAAACAAGATGATGCAGGTAAAGTACTCAGTATATCATTCGACAATAAACACAGTCTCTCTGAGGTAGATACTATTTATTGTTTCTTATTTACAACGAAGGAATCTGGGGCTTGGAGATGAGAAAGAACCTGCTTAATGTTACACAGGTAGAAAGTGGCAGTATAAGACTTTGAACCAGGTCTGACTCCAAAGCCTTAAATTTCAACCACAATACTATACAGTTTGCTTTCTGTTCTATAATATTCTTATTAATGTCAACCCATATTTAAATTCCACAGTACACATGAAACATTGTTCTTTTTCCCTCTCATTGGCATTTTATCCATCCTTCCTGGATTTTGAATATCATTAACCACAAAAAAATACACAAGGACAACTTACTCAATTACAAAGCCAACATTCTAGAATACAATACAAAATTAACTTCATCACTGATGCTCATATAACTCAAATACAATGAAATGGTAGCTACAGAATAATTTAGTTGTAATAAAGTCATCAACAGGGCAAAATAAAAACAAAGCTAATTAAGAGGCATTGCTTCAGCTCAAATTAGTTATCTCCTGTAAACAGGAGGATGGGTGCTTTAAAAAAATAGCTATATCTAAGGTCCACATCAGAACAAGTAAAGGAGAATCTCTCAGGCAAAGATATGTGAAGTATTGCCAGTGTTGAGAACTACAAGTGTATAGTAAGAAGCAATAAAAACAACGCCCTGAAGGCAATTCAAAATCAAGAAATTTTTAAAAAAGAAATAAACTTTCCTCTTATCTTGGGAAAGAGTGGAGGGAAGCATCTACTCATTTCTCATAGTTCTTTATTCATTTTTGATAGCCCAAAGTAGAGTTTAACAAATATCAAATATTAGATGTTATGCAAACATGCTACCCACATTGAAATTCTCACTACTTCGCATTTAGAAAGCTCTTTTATATTTTTTGGAAAGCTTTTTTAAAACAATACCAGCTTTCTGAAAAATGCCTCACATTTTAAGTTTGCATAGATGTTTAAGTCATCTATCTGTTCAACTAGGAAGAGCCAATAAAGTATATTAAAGAGCATTTTATTGGTATTATAAAACAACATTCATTTCATGTACCACAAATTAACATTTTGTTGCAGAGAGGACTATTTGAGTCTTTCCTACCTGTTTCTAAAGCTTGCAATTTATAAGTTTGATATCTTCAAATTTAGAATCTAAACATAACTTTTTCTTTAAGAATGTACACATAAAATACTTCCTCTATAACTGTACTATATCACTGACAAATCCTATTGGGAGTTTCAGTAGTGACTGTAGGCATTTATCTTTAAAACAACTTTTCTCATTTTTCAGGTTTGGGAATGAAATCACATAAAGTATGGAAAATAACTTTTATCCCTAAGAATATGTAAGTCACTTAGAGATGTTTTCTCAAATTCAGAAAAACCCATTGCTTCAGTTCCTCTGTCAGGACTCCATGTCAATCTCAACCACTTCATCCTTGCTCTGAAGCCTTGCTTCTGTAAGGTTACCTTCATTTATAGCTTCAATGTCTGCCAGATCAATAGGTGGTAAAGGATTCCTCCAGTACTGGAAGGTGTTATACTGCCAAAATTCTTCATTGAGCTTTAGGGGGAGGAAAAAAAGAAAGTATATTAATGATTTAGAAAAAGTTAAATTTCCTTTTCAGGAAAACAGTTTTTTTTTGTTTGTTTTAAAAGGAAACTCGCATAAGATTTTGCAGTCTTTATATCTTCAACATTTTTAATTCTGTCTAGTCAAAGTATTTTACAGACTCAGTCAAATCTATGCATTTTCATAATCATAGATTTGTGAAAGTATTTATTGGTTTAACTTTAAAAGAATTTCTTTCAAGAGTACCCTTCTGACAATTTTCTTCCATTCTCAACCAAAGAAAATGTCTGCAAACAGTCTTAAAATGTTTACCTTCAGTGAGGAAAAATTTTTATTGAAAAAAATACACATAAACCTTAAAATTTATTTTTAGTCTTTTTCCCGAGGTTTGGTATTTTAAGGGATTGACTTTACATAGGCTAAAATATTTTGACAACCTTCTAAAAAGTATTAGGATATAAATATGCTAAATAGCAAGAAAAATCTAAACTAATCATTTTTATCAAGATACCATTTGGTACAAGGCATGCCTTTTAAATCAATATAGCAAAATTGTTAAATCCAAGTGAGCACTGGCTCCTTAAACATTTAACAGCTTACTCTGAATGATTATAAAATTATTTCAAGTAACTATGAAGTAAAGCTGATGTTCCAATAAAGTACAAAATTGGCACTGAAGTTCAAAAGCATTCCAAAAATATTTTGTGCAAAGGAAGCAGCATTGGAATAATATACAGGCTCCCAAGGTGACCATTATCCATATCAGAAGGGTATCTATATATCTGTATTTATTCTACTATGCTATGTGCTTTTTTTTTTCTTTTTCATGTGCCTCAGGCATGAAACAGCTCTGGCCACAGGCATCAAGCTAGGATGAACTAAGGACTGTACATCTGCTTTGCCCCTGACTGATATAAGAACATCACCACCAATCAGGTGTCTCCTTGCCCATTGCCAGGGGGTTATGTTCTTTTTTTAAGTACTATGTTCTTATGTTCATACTTGCTAGGGCAGCATTATCCAACAGAAATATAATAGAAGCCACATATGTAATTTAAAATTTTTCTAATAACCACAGTAAAAAAAGTAAAAAGAAACTGGTGAAATTAATCTTTTTAAAAATAAGATTAAATGTTTCATTGCACTTGATGGTAAATCAAAATATGCTTTAGAAATAGTTAATGAAAATGTATGCATTAAATCCATGGTCGGCAAACAGTGGCTAGTGAGCCACATGCAGCTCTTTGGCCCCTTGAGTGTGGCTCTTCCACAAAATACCACATGCGGGCGCGCATGTACAGTGCGATTGAAACTTCGCAGCCCATGCGCAGAAGTCGGTATTTTGTGGAAGAGCCACACTCAAGGGGCCAAAGAGCCGCATGTGGCTCGCGAGCCGCGGTTTGCCGAGCCGAAGTTTGCCAACCACTGCACTAAATCATACACTGTATTTAATTAAATCAAAGAAACACTTCATTGCAACACAATCACTGCACCCTCCTGCTTCCCCCTCTGCGCCCTGGAAGTATTACTGTGGTCTTGCCCTAAATTCCTGATCCCCCTTCAGTTGCTACACTGACTTCTCTAAGGACATCATGAAAAAGTGTTTGTGACAGCCAGTGGTCCTGTGAGCCTCCCTCCACTGGGAAGTCACAGAGCTGGGCTGAGGGACCACAGGCAAGTTGAAAGGCAGGAGGTACTCCAACCCTCCTCCTCTTCCTCTTTCCCTTCTGAAAAACACTCATTTAGCATGCTCCGTTTTGGTGTGTCTAAAAACATATGTATCTAGTATAAATCAACAAATTTGGGAAATAAGTGAAATGGAGGCAATGTTTCAGTTAAAATGGTTCAACTAGTGCCAAGGTGATTGGCAACACTATGAGTGTGGCTAAATAGGGCTGGTGACACCTCTGTGTTGTGTGGGCAGCAGACCAGGCTTCGAGAATAGAATGAATTTCCAAGGACAGCATGCCAATAGGATTCTTAGTCACAAATTGTGTTTGGAAGCCCTGGGATGTAGGGGGAGGGGGTACATATAAGACCAGGCTTCAGATGACTTCAGGCGTAGGCTCCTGAAGCATGGGCTCACCTTCAACCCCTTCACCACACAAGGTGCCCTGAGCCTCTTCTTCTTTTAAGGCTCCTGGCAGGGAGGCCCAGGCTGCCCAACTGGTCAGGTGAAATTAATCTTACTATTTTATTTGACCTAATATACCCAAACTATTATCACTTTAACATGCAGTCAACATTTTAAAGATTAATGAGATTTTTTTTTTTTTGGTCACACAGGTTTTCAAAACCTGGCAGATAGTTTACACTTCTAGCACTATTCAGACTAGCCACTTTTCAGTGCTCATTAGCTGCATGTGGCTGGTTACTTTACTGAAAAGTACAGGCCTATAAGAAAATCTCATTAAGTTCATTCAGTGCTTCAGACACTAAGGCTTAGAGAATTAAGAGTCTTTGGAATTTCTTAACATTGGGATAAAAAATGCAATAATTCAAAGGATGCCAAGAAAAATTTCATTTTAATAAGCAAAGAGGGTTAAAGACATTATCTATTTCAGTGGTTCTCAACCTGTGGGTCGCGATCCCTTTGACGGTCGAACAACCCTTTCACAGGGTTCGCCTAAGACCATCCTGCATATCGGATATTTACATTACGATTCATAACAGTAGCAACATTACAGTTATGAAGTAGCAATGAAAATAATTTTATGGTTGGGTCACAACATGAGGAACTGTATTTAAAGGGCCAGAAGGTTGAGAACCACTGATCTATTTCATTGCCCACTACCTACTTATAAACATGGGCACCTCCCCCCTCCACCCCCCCCCCCCTTG